CGCGTTTCTCCTTCATGTATCACGTAAGATACCTACCGTCTTCACCCTCTCTCTCTCTCTCTCTCTCTCTCTCTCTCTCTCTCTCTCTCTCTCTGTGGGTTGGTTTATGGAAGTTCCGAAGCGTAGGGTCATGATGGCCGTGTCTAAAATGACAGTCATTATAGTTGCATTTTGGGCAACTGTCATTGTACACACGGCCATCATGACCGTACGTTTCAGAACTTTGATAAACCTAATGCGGGCAAGAGAGAGAGAGAGAGAGAGAGAGAGAGAGAGAGAGAGAGAGATGGAACGTTGTACAGTCCACCAACCAGCCATAGGCGCGCAGCGCCATCACAACACCCCTCTCCTCCTTCATCATCTTCTTCCATAGATCGTAACCTTCGGATGAGACGAGATGCTGACTTGCAAGAGCCAACGCCCGCCCCCTGATTTTCGTCCCAGACTTCTTCTTTCCCGCCTTTGCATTCATCGAGGAGGGCTCTTCGTTGACTCAGACTGTCCACCACTAACATCCTTTCGTTTGTCGGAAGAGGGAGCCGCCCCTGCATCTGGGAAAGCAGTAGAAGATGTGGGAGTTGTGGACCACTTGGCAGCAGACGCCCTCTTGGCAGCAGATGCCGTGACAGCAGCTGATGAGGCAGCAGACGATGACATAGCAGCAAATGGCTTGGTAGCAAATGGATTGGCAGCAGATGACGTGGCAGCAGATGATGTAGCAGCAAATGGCGTAGTAGCAAATGGCTTGGTAGCAAATGGACTGCCAGCAGATGACGTAGAAGAAGATGATGTGGCAGCAGATGACACAGCAGCAAATGGCTTGGCAGCAAATAGTACCGGTAGGGGCATCTCAAAAATTTTCCTGCTGGCTTTTACCGGCCATCCGGTAGGGGCATCCCGCAAATTAGGGACCGGTACCGGTAGGGGCGTAACAAAAAGATTTGAGGCCCAAACGACACCGGGGTCTTATGGAAAATTTGAACCCTGCTGAGAGGGGCGTGACAGGGTAAATCGGCCGTTGGAGGGGCGCGATGCAAAATAACAAAAATTACAGGGGCGCCAGACAAATTTTCCCTTATTTTTTAATTTTTTTACTGGGACCTTCCCTGGTCCTTGCACGGGCTGGCCACCCAGGACCCGGGCGGCGACCCGGGCGGCGACCCGGGCGGCCCGGCTGGTAGCCTAGCAATAAACTATGAGGTAGGACCGATTGGTCGTGCTCAAATCAAAATCGGGGCTAAGTAAAGACAACACCGTTAGGCTCCAACCAGCTGGTACCAAGGAGCCCCAGGAGGGAAAGACGGTGCTCGGTTGGCACAAACACCCCTGAACTGAACTGAACTGTTGAAATACAGACTTGAGTTCGAACTCCCAGTCCACATGAATGAAATCAAATAATTTCTTGATTACCTGGGGCAGCTCCGTACGAAGATGACATCTCAAAAAAAATAAAAATAAAAAAAAATCATGACCGTCGCCCCCTTTTTTTTCCCCACAACAGCAACATCTTATAAATTCCTAATAATAGTTCGAGGCCAGGCACCTCACAATTCAACGGGGGAACAGGTTGAGTATTACTCACTAATACGCAGCTCATCAGAATCTTGAGTCACAACGGAAATGCAAGTGCAACAGAAATAACTTCTCCCAAGGCTCAACTGTGGACAACAGTCCTTTCAAAAATGGACAGTTGAGGGGTAACTAGGGATCGGAATCTCAGTAAACCAGGCTATCTCAATAAAAAGCCTACGGCGGCCTGCAAATTGAGTGCAACCAACGGAGAGGCTACCGTAGGTTAGGAAATATTTCACTCAGAAACCTCATTTCATAGTTCTATAGTTACGCTGGTACTACGTCTTTTCCAAAATAGTCGAAAAGATCGACGAACATGACACTGAAGGGGACATGGCCGTCGCCCCTTTTAAAGTTAAAAAAGGGGAAACTAGGGCGCAGTCACGATTTCAGTTTGAAATCCAGTTCGGGCATCCCTCGAATACAACACATCCCCACCCGACCTTAAAACTGGGTTGTATACAGTCACGACACGATTTTACTCGCTAGGTTTGACACAACATTCGCGAATAGTGACTGAAACGAATTGTCAAAATGAAAACGTGACAGCGCCCTAGTTTTAAAAGGGCGAAAAGAAAAAGGCATGGGTTATACCGATGGGTACGAGGTCGCCCTGTATGCCTGTGTGTTACATGTGCGATGCGGGTGGGGGTTGGGTGGTCGTCACGGCGGTGACGTCCGAGTTACGGAGATCATGCCTTTCTTTGTTTTTTTTTGTTTTTATTTTTTTTGGGGGGGGCGGGGGAGGGGGGGAGGGGAATCATGCTGTTTCTGGGCATCGACCACAACAAAAAGAAAACGGAAAAATAAATGTAATTGACGGTGAGAAACGAAGAATCGATCAAGGCAAGCGGCACCCTTTTCTTTACCCCTTTCTTCTCCTCCCTGGGTGATGTTGGGACTCACCATCGACGGACAACAGGCTTGCAAGCGCCACCGTGAAGTACACTGGGGTCGAATCTTTCGGTCGTCTTGTGTGGATGAGCTGCCCTGTCAGCGGCACCTTCCTGTTGCCAACAGACGATGTCTGATCTGCTGATCGAACGGGCGCCACGATGAGCAAGAAGAAGAAGAGGAGGATGAAAAGCGGCCGCATTCTGGCTATGGCGGTCGTCGTTCTCTTCGTCATTTTCTGGGCGGATGCAGGTGGCGATGGAGAAGAGGGGATGGCAACAAACCAAGCTAGGTTGTCTTGAGGATGACGAAGGCTGCAGGCAGGCTAGGAGGAGGAGGAGGAGGGGGAGGAGGAGGAGGAGGAGGAGGAGGAGAAGGAGGGGAGGAGGAAGAAAGCCCAACTAGCAGAGCGGCGTCAGGGAAGGGCCTGCTGTGCGTAATTCTTGGCTTCAGCGCTCGGCCTCTTCCTTGATTCTGCGTCTTCTATCTTGATTGGTTGGCACGTCGTGGCGCTGTTAAGAAGTTAATGATCTGGACTGATGAAGACACCTTCCGATCGGCGAGCTCTCTTCCCTCAGCGACCGGATCTAGTAACACAGCCCTCGTCTTCCTGGAAGACGTTACGGCGCGGATCTGTGCAATGCCATCTTGAACAACAGCGCCAGGAGAAGCGATGGTGCAAAAACGAGCCCCACGATGGAAAGTCTGTGCGGCCTCTCACTCCTCAACTCTGCATGAGCAAGGGCGCGGAACCTAACGATATTGATTTCATCAGATTTCTTTCTTTTTTCTTCTCTCAAATTCTTTTTCGCCTTTCGCTACCTTCCTACCACTACTCCTAAGACTATATAGAGGTATTTCGACGGACTTTGGAACCTAACATACCATAATATTATTATTATTATATCAACTGCAGAGAGGCCGGGGACCTCACACTTCCACCCGGGGGCTAGGTCCCACTTGCACGAATTAAGAGATGGAGACCGTAGATAGCCGAGATCGACGGCCGAAATCTCCTAATCCGTGCAAGTGGGACCTTGGCCCGGGGTTATCCTGGCAGCTTCAGCCAGTTTAGCTTACGGTCCAAGCCGAACTCGGGACCCACCTTTCACCTGATCTCAGAATTCTCATTATCTTTCATATCAGTCTTCTCAAACTTCCACTGAATCAGATCTAATTGCCTCAATTTCCCTTATACAATGTACTTCTCCTAATTCTCCTCTTCTCCACCATCACTGTTTCCAACCCAAAAACCCTCGTGCTTTTCTTTTTTCTTTTTTTTATAATAAAATTGGACCGTTTCCCCTGGCCGGTATCCTGCAGGCTCGAGGGGCCACACGGCTCTGGTATGCTACGGGTTTCCGCGTATGCCTATAGGTAGGAGTAGTGGTAGGTAGGTAGTGTGAGGAAAAATTGAGAGAAGAGTATAGTTTAAAAATAATAAATAAAAAAAAATTATGCGTGTCAGGTTGTCAACCTTTGCGCGGGGGCCATGCTAATGCTAATCTTTTCTGTATCCAGATGGTACAACCGTGAACTGTTGACATAGGGCCTCGCTGCACTACTGTCCAAATGTGCAAAATTCGACTGAATCCACGGCTAGAACATGGAAAGATACACTTCCATCTCTTTTGTCTTTTGTGCATGTGGAGAGTAGTGCAGCGAGGTCCATAGGGGCTTGCCACACATGCTTTTTTTTTTTTTTTTTTTTT